GCTGATATCCAAAATTTACAAAGAACTAAAGCATATTTACAAGAAAAAAACTAACAAGCCCATTCAAAAGTGGGCAAAGGATATGAACAGACACTTCTCAAAAGAAGACATAAGTGAGGCCAACAAACATATGAAAAAATGCTCATCATCACTGGTCATCAGAGAAATGCAAATCAAAACTACACTGAGATACCATCTCACGCCGGTTAGAATGGCGATAAATTTTCAATGTAAATAATTATAAGTATAATTATACAAATATAATTATTTACATGGAACCCCCTAATATTACTACAGAAAAAAATAAAATTTATGTGGTTAGATATAAAAACTAATATACAAAATTTAATTGTGTTTTCCCTGTATATAAAGCAAACAACTAGTAAACCCAACTGGAAGATATTACTTTCACTAATATCAGAAAATACCAAGTACCTAGAAATAAAAGTTAGTAAGCTCTCTACCTGAGAAATTATACCATATTTTTAAGAGGTACTAAGTTAGAACTAAATAAATGAATAACTCCAGTATAGTAAAAGTTGGGAAGGGTTTGTAGCCTAAAGTAGTCAATGCTGCATCTAAAGTTTTGATTAGATTTTCATTAAATTTCTGCAGTTTTCCATAATAAAATAATATACATGATAAAATAATCTTAAAATTTATATAAAACATAAAGGGCCAAGGAAAGCTTATCAACTATCAAAAAACAAAATGAAAGTTAAAAAGACTTGCCCTATAGATATATAGGACTTGCTATAAAGTAATTAAAAGACTATAGCACTAATACAGGGATAGAGAAATTAATGAAGATTTACACAGAGTTATAAATCTTGATTTATATTTATTATGAAGATAAAATAAACATAAATTAATTTAATGTAAATAATTATAACAAATATAAATAATTATACAATTAATTATAAATATAATTATTTACATGGAAACCCTTAATATTACTACAAAAAAAATAAAGTTTATGTGGTTAGAAAAAAGATTAATATACAAAACTAATTACAAGATTAATATGTATAATTTCTATATAAAATAGAAAGTACACTATTCATAGTGGTGGCATGCCGAATCAATGAGGAGAGAGGAGGGTTTTTCAATAACTGACATTGACAAAATAATTATATTTGTATGGAATAAGGTAAAAACTTTATAAATGTATCTTCACAAAAAATTCTAAATAAATTAGAGACTTAAATGACAAAAACAAAAATTTAAAATTATTGGTAGGAAATGTAGTTCAACATATTTTAAACAATGGAATGGGGAAAGAGTTTCTAAACAAAGACAAGAAGTGCTTTAATATAATAGAAAATATTCAATATTTGGCTATAATAATAGTATCAAAAGACATAGTATTCAGTAAAAAGGCAAATTATAAACTGGAAGAAGAAATTGTAGCTCCCACAACTGACTAAGAATTAGTGTAAATAACATATTACACATTCCTGAAATTATATAACAAAAACCACACTAAATAGTTAAGTAAAAAAATAGGCAAAACACATGGATGAGTATGTCACGGAAAGAGAAAAGGTGTGTGACTAATAAACATGGTGAAGCTCCACATCTGTAGTGATAAAGAGCATAAAATCAAAACCACAAGAAGGTTCCATTTTACATTGATTTTATTGCAAAGATTAAAAAATATAACCATACCAATTGTTACAAAGAATGTAGATATATAGATATGTGAAGTCTCTTACACATTTCTGAAAGGCTTGCAAAATGGTGCAATAATTTGGCAAAAATGCCTAAAAATGAACATTCACATACTTAACACTATTAAGCACACACACTTACAAGCACGTTGATAACAAAATTATTTCCAATTTCAAAATTTAGAGGTAACCCCAATCACACCAAAAGAAGTGTGGAGCTGAGGAAAATGAATATTACTAACAAGAAAAACCAATTAACTATAGCAACACTCAAAAATATGAAAACATCTTACTAATATAATATAAAGTGAATAAAACCTAACCCCCCAAATATTACACTAGTATGGTATTCCCTCTATAAAGTTTAACATGTCTAAAGTAATATGCACATTTTGGAGGTGTATATAGATTTAA